TAAATTCATTTATTTATTTACCAGTTTAGCTGCGCACGCATTCGCGTGCATCACACAGTTCTGCGGCGATGTGGATTGGAACGGCGTAAATTCTCAAACTTGGCCCGATACACTACCAATATTTGATAATGCCAGCGCTAACCACTTCGATGCACTAATCGCATTTCACCTCCCTCCACTGCTAGCTTCTGTGCAATGATTTCCTCTACTAAGGGTCGTCAGGGTGTTGAGTTATGACGGCGAGTGGGAATTTCCGCTCACTCCGGTGACCCTGCCCCAACAGCTTTCAACCCTCCCTTCTTCTCTAACTTCAGTCCACTTCTTTCCCGGTCGCCGGGACTTCTAAGAACCTAGTTATTAATTTCGTAGCAAACTCCGCCTACTTTCGGGCACGTTCCGCCCGACAAAAGCGATTGACCCCATTCCCTCCGCAACCCTTATCCACATTTTTCCCGGTCGCCTAGACTTCTAGGAACCGAGAGTGGTGGCAAACTCCGCCCACTTCGGGGTGTGCCACGCCCAGCGTTCACATTCAACCTCTACTCCTCCTCTCACCTCTATACACATTTTTTCAGGTCTCTAAGTCATCTCGGAGCCGAATTATGAGGTCTTGTAGGGGACGAAATCGAGCTACGTATCTTTGTGGCAAACCCCGCCCACTTTGGTGCATGCCTCGCCCACTGATATCAGTTGACTATCATCTCTTCCCCAACCTTTTTCTACTTTTTTCCCATCTCCGGAACTTATTGGAACCGAGTTATGAAGTACCGTGGCAAACCTCCGCCCACTTTGGTGCATGCTCCGCCCGCCAACAGCGGTTGACCCCTTTCCCTCTGCCAACCCTTATACGCTTTTTTCCCGGACTCCGGGACTCCTAGGAACCGAGTTATGAGCTGGTTGCAAACTCCGCCCACTTTGGTGTAAGCCACGCCCAGCCCTGACATTTAGCTTCTCCTCTTCTTTCTCTTCAATATCGTTTCTAGTCTGTAGGCTTCTCTTAACCGAGTTATGAATATTTTCACTGAGCACCGCTTTTTTAGAGAACGCCCCGCCCACCGAGGGTGGGTCTCCTCAATTCAATCTGGCTTACCAACGCACACCTATACCCACTTTTGTCCCCAGTCTCGAGGCTGTTTTGTGACTGAATTTGAAATCATGGTCCTCAGTACCACTCATTTCGACGCACGCCACGCCCACTGTGGGCGGGGCTCCGCTTAGCTAATGTATGTTTTTTACTTCTCGAGATATGGTACACCCATCCCAAACTTGACCTGAACCCTGTAGGTTGATGTTCGCTTAAAGGAAGCAGTCACGCTGGCTTCCACGCTGGATTTGCTACCCTCGCGTTATCAATCGATAAGGTGTGAGGCAGTAATTGTTGGACGAGTGTAAGCCCATGGAAGATATGATACGATGAGATAAGAAGAAGGTGCGGCTGCTTGATAAGAGGTGCACTCCAGAATGAAAACGGGACGATAACGATAACGGTATCATATCTAGCACGCTCTTATCGCACCCCTTTCCACATCGATAAGTCTTGGTTTTTGCTGAACGGAAGTGGATTTCGGCGCCTTATTATCACTTCGTTGATAAGGCGCCACTGCCACTGAAACTTCACGTGTTCTAACATTGGGCAGGACCTCTATCCACTCCAATACATAGCTTTCCTTATCGTTGCCATGAAAATTATCGTGACTGCTTCCTTTAATACCGAACTTCGTGACAGACGGACAGACAGACAGACTTAGCGCATTATATATAGTAGGGATTGCAGCAAAGGTGCGCCACCTTAGCCAATAGTCAACAGAAAAGCAAGCACTCAAACGAAGAATCCAGTCCTCAAAGAATAAAACAAAAACATTGAAGAGAACGACCAGAAAGTAACACAACATTCAACCATGAGTTGAAGAAATAAGTCCAATACCGGTAATGTGTACAAGACAAGCAGGTCGGAGCTAAAGAACTTGCGTCAAATGTTGCTGTAATCAACCTGCAGAAGACATATTCAGTAGTACCGAGACAGACCAAGAGCTTTCTGATTCCCAAAAAGTGTTATTGAAAGAGTTTCATTCGATAGATTAAATAAATGTAAGGCAGACATTGCCTTGTCATCACCTCAAACACTTTTTGCGGTAACCTGAAGTAAGTAGAGGAGTGCGGGTTAGTCTGGGCAACGCAACTAACCGTAAACATTCCGAGGCGGGCTAAAGTCCTCTTTGATCTAAATACGAACCCCAGGCGTAAAACCCAGACCCAAGTGGAGTGTCATAAAGATCAAGTCACTTGTTGACCCCACTCAAATCAGGACGTAAAGAATTGCACCATATGCACGTGGATGACAACAAGGCGATTAAAAGGATGAAAATTTCTATCGCAAGCTCTTGAACTAGTACTACATGTGGTTGACGATGAAAAAAATGAGGGAAAACAAAAACATACAGCTGAGTGACGCAGGTTTAGCAGCATAATATGGGTAATAAATAAATTATACATAAACCTGCACCCAGCATTATTCACCCAATGCGTGCGTATGGTTACGGGGCATTTTTTCGCTGTCCGGCGTGTATGGCGGGCGTTTCTTTAAACTCGAAGCCGCCTGCTGTGCGACCAATAATCATACATTTGCCGTATGCATATTTTATACCAGTTTTGCTTCGCCCGCTATCGCGCGCATCACACGGCAGGCTTTAGCGAAATTGGAGGACCCATGGAATATCAGCATGAGATACTCCATTAACCATCTCACTATTGACTGTGTTAGACCCTCCACAGTTTCACTGAAGCTCATCGAGAATACGCGTGATAACGTCTGAGCTGAACTGGTATATTGATCACAACTGTAAACATCCAGCATTCTTCTTGAATTAAGATAATTTAGCGGTGAATAGGATTGCTGTCAGTCTCAAAATCAAAACGAAATATGCCTATTTACATAAGTGAGGAGCTAAGGCTTATCATTTATTTACATTCACCATTATTTAGAACCCCGAAAGGATTAGCGGTTTAATGAGTTTGGGCTTTCTTAATATAGAAATGAAACTTATCATTTGCTGAAGACTTGTTTTTTAAAATTTATGCAATCGAATTCTATTAAGTAAGCTGGATATATATCGAAATAATGTGCACGTACCTTTGTTTGTACTACTACGACTTACTACAATTTGTAAGTAGGAACGCTCTAGTGTCAACGCTGCGTAACGGAATTGACGACTTTTGCGTTCTGACGCGCCTTATCAGCCCTTATCAAATCGTTATCAGTTTCTGGCACCCACCAACAATGTCCCCGTCCCACCCCACATAACACTTGTAAGTATGGTTGCTCTGGTGTCAACGCGAGCCAGGCAACGGAATCGACGACTTCAGCGTTCTGGCGCGCCTTATCGGCCCTTATCAATCGTTATCAGTTTCTGGCACCCACCAACAATGTCCCCGTCCCCCCCCACGTATAACTTTGATATGTATGCTATACGAAGTGTGGCAACGCTACCAAACGAGCAAACGA